TTGTAGAACAAAAGAAAGAATCTCTGCACATAGTAAAAGTTCCTTTTTCAAGCCTCTGGGAACCACCCTTCTCCTCCGTCTCTCAAGCTGTCATCGCGGCACAAGGGTATGGAAACCGTCCCTCCTTCTCTTCCCATGAGAAACAGGTGTTGTTTTTCTCAGTCCATTGCCTCTAGGCCACAGCAAGTGTCTGGTCTTCTTATCCTTTATACACAGAACCAATATGGAATCCATATTAACCAGAAGGTGAGCACATCACATTTGACAACACATACAAATGTGACTCATACAAGTAAGCAGAAAAAAGACACAGCACAGGTCCTTGGAGAAGCATAAAGGCCGCTTGTAACCCTGCAAAAACATTGGGTTGAGTAAGATCCATCACCATCTTTAAATTTGATAGCACTTCTCACATACCTGAAAAGTAGTCATATATGGGAAGGGCAGGATCTGTTCTGATCATCCCAGAGTGCAGAACATCCAACAATGGGCTCAAGTTACAGGAAGCCAGAATTTCAGTTCCTTTCATTTGGATTCCTGCATCGAGCAGCGAGCTGGACTGTATGACCTTATAGGCCTTTCCAAGTTCATGATTCTTTAATCCTATGATCCTGGCTGGGTTGGCAGGCTGAGCTGGCTGGCTGGGCTGGGTTGGCTGGGGATTCCTGCATCGAGCAGCGGGCTGGACTGTATGGCCTTATAGGCCTTTCCAAGTTAATGATTCTTTAATCCCATGATCCTGGCTGGGTTGGCTGGGCTATGCTGGTTGGGCTAGGCTGGCTGGGCTGGGTTGGCTGGGCTGACTGGCTGGCAGGGAGGCAGGCTGGACTGGATGGGCTGGATGGGCTAGGCTGTTTTGGCTGTCTGTCTGGGCTGGCTAGCAAACTGGGCTGTCTGGCTGGGCAGTCCAGTTGTCTGGGCTAGGCTGGCTGGCTGGCTGAACTGGGCTGGCTGAGCTGGCTGGCGGGACTGGGCTGGCCGGGCTTTCTGGCTGGCTACCTGCACCGCCTGGCAGGGCTATTCTGGACTGGTGGGCTGGGCTGACTGGCTGCTGTGGCTAGCTGTGCTGTGCTGTGCTGAATGTGCTGGGCTAGGCTGGCTGGGC